ATGACTAAATTTAAACACTCAGCCATGCTCTTCTCCCTGAGCTGAGGGAGAGACATCTATGACCCAGCAATGGGAAAATGCTGAAAACCTGATGTGGTCTGTAATAACATGTAATTTCTTGCTCCTTCTAAGTCTTCTGTGTCCTGTTGTGGAAGAGCCTATAAGCATGTGTAGCCCAGGGTAGCCTTGAACTACTCATCTTCCTACTTCCTCCTCCCAAGTGCTGGGATTAAAGGTGTGTGCCAACACTGTCTGGCCTCTATGGTTAACTAGCAGGTAGGGTAGCTCCACACTCTGATCTGCAGGCAAGCTTTATTTGTCAGAACATAAACAAAATATCATACAACAGTGGATTTATGTCTGGTATTATAAAGCAGGTCAACATGAGCACTAGAGGAGAAGCTACTGATGGCATTTTGCTAAACAGACATAATGTGATATATATTGTATGTATATATTGCGTGCAGTGGACACCAGTGACAAAAGAGAGAGGAGAGGGAGAGGAGGAACAAGGAGGAGAAGTAAGAGGAGAGGGAGAGAGAGAGAGAGAGAGAGAGAGAGAGAGAGAGAGAGAGAGAGAGAGAGAGAGAGAGAATTTTGAGACTGACATAGTATTGCTTCATGATATAGCTTGCTGGCATGGATCTTGGAAAAGTTAAAGTTGAAGTCATAAGACATGTGGACCTTGTAGATGTTGAGAAACAGAACAAATGTTCCTATCTGCCTCTTTCCAGCCAAAGACCAAAAAACTTCAGCATATTCTAGACCGGCATGCATCACAACCTAAACGTTGAAAACAAATCTTCCACTCAACCAGTCCTGGTATGGTGAAAGTTTGCCCCCTAGTGAAGTTGGTGAGTAAGTATATTTTCACCCAAACATGGTACCTGAATGTGGAGACTCTATGTTCAACATTGATAGAAAGAAATCTGTTTCTGATACTGGGATGCAAAGATTATAATAATTTTCTTAGTGTTAGCGAAATTAATAAGGATGACAGACATCTTGAGGAACTCATAGAGCCAGTGTTGTAGGCAGGAAGACTGGAAAATGTAAAATGTTAACATGTTTTTCTGTTATACTGGGCAATGAGCAATTTTTTGCTTTGTTTTTCTAAAATTCAGAGTATAAATACATTTTTATTAGAACATAGCCACACAATCTTTACATAATGTGTAAGATTGTTGTATTACAATAGAATTGACTAGTCATAGGAGAAATGGCATAGTCCCACAGCCTAAAATATTCAGGATTCAGACTTCAATGGAAAAAGCATCTGACCCAAGAGTTAACCACTCTCAATTGTCACCTCATGTGTGAAGTAGAGAACTTGGTTCTCTCTGAGGCTACTCTTCAATCTTGATGATATTATATGGAAAATGAGTTCTTAAAGTAGAACTGGCATTTTTTAAATACCACATGGTGTGGTAGCCTTCACTGTAGTGACCCATAAGCACCTCAGAGCCTTATTCTAATGAGGGTGCTACTGAATCACTGCATCCAGTAGACAAAAGATCATGGCAATCTTCTGTTTGTGTTTATAGATGCCTACAGCATATGGTCACTGTCTACGGATAGCTGAGCAACCCAGAACATTGGTGTTTTCTATTGTAGGCTTATATTCACAGTGCAAGAAGTGCTTGCAGGAACAGTGAATAGAATTGAAGAACAGATTTTCACATACAACCCCCTATTCTCTATTCTTTAAATGACCACTTAAAACTTTGATGGTTTTCTTAAGCAGAATAATAGACATGGAAAAGAGTGCAATACAGACACCCCAAGGAAGTATCAGAAAGCCTGACTTCATGACTGGGTAATTCTTAGCACTATTTGACATAATGCAGCATGAATCCTAATTGATCTTAGTAGTAAAAACCCAGAGCCAGATATTGGGGTAAATGCTGGAAGATCAGTAAAGGAGGCCAGCCACTAGAAAGACTTCTTCCATCTACCGAATCCTCAGACTGAAAGCAAGTGAGCTCCTGTCGTCTCCCCTCTTACATTCCTCTCTTTGCCTGCCATATCACTTCCTGTCTCTACCTCCCAAGTGCTGGAACCAAAGGTGTGTGCCACAACTGCCTGGCTTTGTTTCTCTTTTAGACTGGATCAATCTTGTGTAGCCCAGGATGGCCTTGAACTCACAGAGATCCTTCTGCCTCTGCCACCCAAGTGCTGGGATTAAAGGTGTGTGCCACCACTGCCTGGCCTCTACGGCTGACTAGTGGCTTACCTCCGCACTCTGATATTCAGACAAGCTTTATTTGTTAGATCACAAACAAAATATCACCACAACATAAGGTCCACTTTATAATACAAACATGTTTATTAATGTATTTCTCACTCTTCTGTATGGAAACTCACAGCAAAACTAACCAACTTTTTTTAAAAAAAATATCAGTACGTAGGCACTTAATGCAGGAAATACAAGTTTCAGCTGCATTAGACACTTCATTATTTACTTATATTGAAACACCTTTGAAAAACCCTCTAGGAATTCTGTAGCACAGTGAGGAGGATGAAATCCAGCTTTAGAGAATGCTGGGAACCTGTGTTGGCACTAAGGAACACAGCACCAACTCTACACTTAAATTAGACACTCTACATAAAAGATTTTTTTTTAATTTTTTAATTTTTATTTTGCAATACAATTCAGTTCTACATATCAGCCACGGATTCCCTTGTTCTCCCCCCCTCCGGCCCCCCTCACCTTCCCCCCAGCCCACCCCCCATTCCCACCTCCTCCAGGGCAAAGCCTCCCCCATGGACTGAGATCAACCTGGTAGACTCAGTCCAGGTAGGTCCAGTACCTTCCTCCCAGGCCGAGCCAAGCGACCCTGCATAGGCCCCAGGTTTCAAACAGCCAACTCATGCAATGAGCACAGGACCCGGTCCCACTGCCTGGATGCCTCCCAAACAGATCAAGCCAATCAACTATCTCACCCATTCAGAGGGCCTGATCCAGTTGGGGACCCCTCAGCCATTGGTTCATAGTTCATGTGTTTCCATTCATTTGGCTATTGTCCCTGTGCTTTATCCAACCTTGGTCTCAACAATTCTCGCTCATATAAACCCTCCTCATTCTCACTAATTGGACTCCCAGAGATCCACCCGGGGCCTAGCCATGGATCTCTGCATCCAGATCCCTCAGTAGTTGGATGGGGTTTCTAGCATGACAATTAGGGTGTTTGGCCATCCCATCACCAGACTAGGTCAGTTCACGCTGTATCTCGACCATTGCCAGCAGTCTGTTGTGTGGGTATCTTTGTGGATTTCTGTGGGCCTCTCTAGCACTTTGCTTCTTCCTATTCTCATGTGGTCTTCATTTACCATGGTCTCTTATTCCTTGTTCTCCCTCTCTGTTGTTGATCCAGCTGGGATCTCCCGCTCCCCCAAGCTCTCTTTCCCTCGACCCTCGCCCTTCATTACCCCCACTCATGTCCAGGCTGTTTATGTAGATCTCTCCCATTTCTCCATCATTGAGCGATCCCCATGTCTTTCTTGGGGTCCTGTTTTCCAGGCAGCCTCCCTGGTGATGTGAGTAGCAGTCCAGTCATCCTTGTTCCACATCTAGTATCCTCCTATGAGTGAGTACATACCATGTTTGTCTTTCTGAGTCTGGGTTACCTCATTCAGGATGATTTTTTCTAGATCCATCCATTTGTCTGCAAACCTCATGATGTCATTGTTTTTCTCTGCTGAGTAGTATTCCATTGTGTATATGTACCACATTTTGTTTATCCATTCTTCAGTTGAAGGGCATCTAGGTTGTTTCCAGGTTCTGGCTATTACAAACAATGCTGATATGAACATAGATGAACAAGTGCTCTTGTGGTGTGGTTGAGCATTCCTTGGGTATATGCCCAAGAGTGGTATAGCTGGATCTTGGGGGAGATGGATTCCCAATTTTCTAAGAAAGCACCATATTGATTTCCAAAGTGATTGTACAAGCTTGCCTTCCCACCAGCAGTGGAGGTGAGTTCCCCTAGCTCCACATCCTCTCCAGCATAAGGTGTCTTCAGTGTCTTTGATCTTAGCCATTCTGACAGGCATAAGGTGGTATCTCAGAGTTGTTTTGATTTGCATTTCCATGATGATTAGGGATGTTGAGGAGAGAGGAGAGAGGAATCTAAAAAATCTCACTAAAAAAACTCACTGCTGAAAAAGTATGTTTGGAGCTGATGAACAGTCACTAAGGGCAATTGCTGCTCACTAAGAAGACCTGTGTTCGGTCCCCAGCTCCCACACTGGGTGACTAACAACCCTCTATAACTCCAGTTGTTCCTCAATGAGTTCCTCAATAATGATTATTTCTTTCTGGGGTATTATGACAGTGATAAGGAGCAGTAGTGTGTACTCACCATTCCATCCATGTGCTCCATCAAGCCTTGTACACAGTCAAGTACCCAGTAATTAACTGATGGCTTTAGCTTTGTGTTTTCTCTTCATCATTTACCCATAAAAAGCCTTAGAAACTTTTAAAGTTAATCCATAATTGATTTTTTAAGTTTTATTTTGGGCAGTCATTACTGTTGTTTACTTTATTTTAAGTTTAGAATACCTAAAATTAATAAGATATTCATTTAACATAACAGTAAAATTTAAGATAATCAATGTGGAATGGTAAGAAATCATAACTTTAATACATTTTCTGCAATGGTGACATCTGGTAAATCTATACCATACTATTAGTACCAGGATATTAATACATTACAGACTAGCTTGTCCAACTTCAATATTGTCCAGGTTGCTGTTTTATGGCTCCTCCCATGTTCCCTTCAGGTTCTTCATTAAACTTCTTTCTTTCTTTAGGTATAGCTTTGTTACTTTATTTGTGCTTATTTATTTATTTATTTTTGTAAGTTAAAGATGAATTGATTGATTTTTTTTCCATCTTTCTTTAAGCATAATTTTTATTGTATCTTTGGGTATTTCACATTATGCACCCCAATCCCACTCATTTCCCAGTCCTTCCATATCCACTCTCCAAACGTGTTGCCCCCCAACACGTTAAAAACAAAAACAAAAACAAACAAACAAATAACAATAACAAAAGATCTCGTCAACCCCTTTGGGCAACGACTGATACTCTATTAACCCCAGGGTTCTGTGCATGTACCATTCCACTCCTCTATCTTTCCCACATATCCTTCACCTATCTGTGCATCATAGTGGCACTGGAGGTTGTGGTGTGTCATTCAGTACGCCCTTTTGCCTAATCAGCCCAAACAGCTTTACTTGCAAATATTTATTACAATGAGTCATTAGGTTAGTTAAAGGACTCTGACTTCTGCTGCAATGTCAATATGTACCCTCATAGAGACTCTCAGATAGCCTGCTGTTGCTCTGAGTCATGGGGGATCCTGCAGCTATGGATATGCAGGGCCAGCCCCTTCATGCCTTCCAGCAGCTCCTATATGGAGAAGATGTTGGCGTGGGCCAACTCAAAGTTTTGGATCAGGGTCTGGATGATAGTTGAGTTGGTCAGTCTGCCAGCTTTCCCATGTCCACACCACCATAGCTGGCTCCACCTCTGGCTAGATGAGGGGCACGACAAGATCTCCCACTCTCCCAAGTCCATGCCTCTGGGGCCAGCTTTCCCTCACCCCCTGGGCAAGGGATGGGGCCAGCTCTCCCATCTGCATCAGCCAGCAAGGAGAAGGACCAGCTCTCCCTCGTGGCAGGAGCAGGCTAGAGGTGAGGCCAGCTCTCCCTTGACCACACCATCAGGTCCTGCTCTCCAGCTCTCATGCCACTAGGGCCAATTCTCTTGCTCTGTCGGGGAAAGGAGTCGGACCCACTCCTGAGTACATCAGTTGCACTGGGTGGGGCCAGCTCTCCCATGTTGCCCCTGCAAAGGGTAGGTCCGACTCTCCTGCACCCATGCTGTCGGAGCCAATTCTACCAAGGCAATGTCAACAGTGGTACCACGAGGTGGTGGCTGTTGGAGAATAGAGCCAACTCAGGGTGGCTGCAATACAGACCCCAGACAACCTCATAGTCTTCAGTGGCAGTAGAGGCCACCAACATCAACACAGACCCGGATGCATCAGGACCACAGACCCAGACACAGCCCTGGGCCACGGTAGAGGCCCAGTCATCACCATAGTTTCATGTGCCTATGCAGGGCTCTCATATCAGGGTGGTTCTCACCTCTGTAGCACCTCTAGTTCCACCTCTCTTCACGGTGCACTGAACTTCTTTTTCTCTCCCATCTCTCACGACATATTTGCCTGCTTCTTTCTCTCCCATCTCTCCTCTGCATACTTGCTCACGTCCTCCTGCCACACCCAGCCCAGCAAGGGACATCTCATCAATTTTCTTATGTCAAGAGTATTATGTATTGAATGGAATCATACAGTAATTTATTCATCTATATTTCAGTTTCCCCTTTTCACTAAACATTAGTTCCTGGAGACAAATCTAAAGTATCTTAAATTCATGTCTCTTAATAGTTCAAAAATGAATATTTATCTCACTTAGGAATGATTAATTTCAGAAGGGGCGATAGCAAAGTGACCCTAATGTGATGCAAAAGCCAGTCGAGAAGAAGGAAGATTACTGAAAGTAATTAACTGTACAGAGTTTTCATCTCAGAAGTGATGCTAATCAGACAAACTGTAGATGATAGAAAAGCCATTTGAAGTTTTTAAACACACCTCAATATTGCCTGCAATAAATTTCACAATAGCTTCAGTATATGACATAAAGAATAAAAATAAATAGCTCTCTAATTTTCCTTGCTTTTACTCCTATAAAATATGTGCTATTGATTTGTTCATTTAAATGTAATATTTCTAAACTAACCATAAGTGGAAATAGGATATTCTCACATTATAAATTTGAATAACTTGGCAATGTTAAAGACATGATGTCTCAATATCTAAAGTAACAACAGATTAAATTGAATAATTAAAGTTTATGAAATGTAGCCTTTGTCTAGGGGGTACCTAACCATGGAGACAAACAACATCATTTAGAAACCTATGTCACAAGAGAAAGAAGACCATGTACAGAGAGTCAGGAACCTATCTGTAAGGAAGAGAACTAGGAGATTATTCCTTGATATTAGTAAGTTTGGTCTATAGACCATGAATCTTTGTAAATATAGAAAAATCATATATTACGTTTTATTTCAATAATTCATGAATGTGCTTTTTTTCTTTCTAATTTTAGTGCCAGCCAAAGGAGATTAAGAAGCAAATACTCCCTAGATCTCTGATCTAAACTTGAGTGTTGACTCTGCCATTTTCTTGACATAATCTTCTTCAAATTTCTCATACTGGGCTACAGTGAACTGATTCTTCCAGTCACCTGAAATGCCTGTAAAAAATATAACAGAAAAAGTTGGGAATTACTATTAAATTTCGGTCTAATAGTAATTTGAATTATCAATTTGCATGTGAATATTTAGTCTTTAACTTTTGATATGCATCATAACTATACTCTTCCACTCCAAACATATCTAACTGCTAGGCCTAAACCTTCTTAGCCTTTCAACTTCTGTAGGTTTTATAAGTATCTTATGTAAATAATAATAATAATTTCAAAGTATCTTAAAGAAATGCCATGAGGAAATGGCACCTGACAATCTCAATATTAATTCTTGGACTTTATGTACCCTGATAACAAAGGACAAAAGGCACTTACTTCTCAGTCATTTTTAAGCTTTAACTCACAGGGTAAAATGACAACTTATGTGAAAAGTTTTATTATCAAGCAAGATTGAAAATTACTGGGGTAAATATAATTAAGCACATTTCCTTATTATATACTTGGTGAGCCTTCATATATATATATATATATGTATGTATATGTATATTTATATATATATGTATATGTATATGTGTGTGTGTGTGTGTGTGTGTGTGTGTGTGTGTGTGTGTTCTGAGCCTCTAAAATATCAAAAATCTTTATGAAAGGATACAAGACATACCATACAGAAAGAATATTTGGTTAAATTATGGTTTTCACAGAATATTCCCCAGTAACATAGAAGATACAATTAGAAATCTAGTTTTTCATATCCCAAAAATTCCTTGGTTTTAAAGGGGAAGCTTTCATCTACCTTGTAAGTCATTTAGACACCAATAGCTGTTTCCTAATTTTAGCAATAAAAATGTCATCACATGTTTGTTCCCTGAGAAACAAAAAAATCATACTTTGAGATATTAGAGTAAAACCGACTGATAGCATAATTCCTTACCTGACAAAAATCATTTATAATCTATAAAAATTCTAATTATAATGAGTCTTGATTGTTTCTATGTACACATTCACCAAAATTTCTTTATCTCAAGAACTTTTCTAAACTTTACTACTGCTGATAAATCTTCTCTACAACAAGAATGTTTTCCACTTCTACTCATCTGATGTTGTGTGATTGTCTCACTCAGCAACTTCAGACTTAGATTTTTATGTTTTGAACAGTGGAAGTGTAACATGTTTGGTGTACACAGTATCTGAAAAGAAAGTTTAAAATACAAGCCCAGTTCCCATCATCTCTAACATGATCTCATGCATGTCACTTGTGTGGGGCCGGCTTTTGCCTTTGGCTTTCTAAAGAAAAATACAAAAGTAGCTGAGGTCAGGAAAATCAAACAAAACTACAGGAGTCACAATGACAATCACCTATCAACAAATTGCTTAAATAAAAAGAAATCTTGTGTCCTCTTCCTGAGACTTAGAGGCTGGCCCCCAGCTCCCATCTTGCTCCGGACTTCCCTTTTGGAAAACTGGTGAGTGCCCTTCCTTGCCCCGGACCCCATCCCTGGGCACCAGCCACTCCAGGGAAGACCTGCCCAACTTGGCCCCAGGTTCTGGCCACCAGGCAGGTTCCCTGCTAGCCCCACCGGGAAGGATCCCCTTCTCCAAGACCCCTGGCAGGCCCTGCAGTCTCCACGCCCTGCCCCCACGCCCATCCGCCTGAGCCCCAAGCCTCTTCCTGAGACTTAGAGGCCGGCCCCCAGCTCCCATCTTGCTCCGGACTTCCCTTTTGGAAAACTGGTGAGTACCCTTCCTTGCCCCGGACCCCATCCCTGGGCACCAGCCACTCCAGGGAAGACCTGCCCAACTTGGCCCCAGGTTCTGGCCACCGGGCAGGTTCCCTGCTAGCCCCACCGGGAAGGATCCCCTTCTCCAAGACCCCTGGCAGACCCTGCAGTCTCCACGCCCTGCCCCCACTCCCATCCCCCTGAGCCCCAAGCCTCTTCCTGAGACTTAGAGGCTGGCCCCCAGCTCCCATCTTGCTCCGGACTTCCCTTTTGGAAAACTGGTGAGTGCCCTTCCTTGCCCCGGACCCCATCCCTGGGCACCAGCCACTCCAGGGAAGACCTGCCCAACTTGGCCCCAGGTTCTGGCCACCGGGCAGGTTCCCTGCTAGCCCCACCGGGAAGGATCCCCTTCTCCAAGACCCCTGGCAGACCCTGCAGTCTCCACGCCCTGCCCCCACTCCCATCCCCCTGAGCCCCAAGCCTCTTCCTGAGACTTAGAGGCCGGCCCCCAGCTCCCATCTTGCTCCGGACTTCCCTTGTGGAACACTGGTCTGGCTGAACCAAGTGTGCGGATAAGGCCAGTAACGAAGCACAAGGAGATGGGCAGACGTCAAGGCAGAAACATATACAACAAAATGAATAGCAATACAGCATCACCAGGCCCTAGCCCTCCTCCCACACCTAGACCTGAACATCAGAAATTGGAAGAAGCAGAAGAAAACAGCCTTATGAATGACATCATGAAGAAGCTAGAGGCTTGTGTAGAGGAAAAGACAAAAAAATGTGAAGAACGCTGTAAACAACTAGAGGAAAGGGCAAACAAATTAGAAGAAATCAATAAAGTCCTGGAAGAAAACAATAAAATACTGAGAGAAAATCAAGAAAAATCAATGAAACAAATGAAGGAAACAGTCCAAGACCTGAAAAGGGAAATAGAAAAAATGAAGAAGACACAAACAGAGGGAATGCTGGAAATAGAAAATCTGAGAAAACGATTGGGAACTTCAGATGCAAGTATAATCAACAGAATGCAAGAGATGGAAGAGAGGATCTCTAGCGTTGAAGATACAGCAGAAGAAATACATTCATCAGTCAAAGAAAACACTAAAGCCAACAAAGTCATGAACCAAAATGTCCAAGAAATTTGGGACACCATGAAAAGACCAAACCTAAGAATAATAGGGGTCGAAGAAGGAGAAGAATACCAACTCAAGGGCACAGAAAATATATTCAACAAGATCATAGAAGAAAACTTTCCCAACTTAAAGAAGGAAATGCCTATGAAGATACAAGAAGCTTATAGAACACCAAACAGACTAGACCCCCAAAAAAAGTCCCCTCGCCACATAATAGTTAAACAACTAAACGTACAGAATAAAGAAAGAATATTAAGAGCAGCAAAGGAAAAAGGCCAAGTGACATATAAAGGCAAACCCATCAGAATAACACCCGATTTCTCAATGGAGACTTTGAAAGCCAGAAGAACCTGGACAGATGTAATGCAGACACTAAGAGACCATGGATGTCAGCCTAGACTAATATACCCAGCAAAACTTTCAATCACCATAGATGGAGTGAACAAGACATTCCATGACAAAGCCAGATTTAAACAATACTTATCCACAAACCCAGCCCTACAGAAAGCACTAGAAGGAAAATTCCAACCTAAGGAAGTCAGATACACCCTCGAAAACACAGGCAACAGATAAAGCCACAGCAGTAAACCCCAACGTATAGAAGTACCCACACATCACCACCAAAAAATAACAGGAATGAACAATCACTGGTCATTAATTTCCCTCAATATCAATGGACTTAATTCACCTATAAAAAGACATAGGCTTACAGAATGGATACGAAAGCAGGACCCATCTTTCTGCTGCATACAAGAAACACATCTCAAATTCGAAGATAGACACTACCTAAAAATAAAAGGCTGGGAAAAGACTTTCCAATCAAACGGTCTTAAGAAACAAGCGGGTGTAGCCATCCTGATATCCAGCAAAATAGACTTCAAACTAAAATCAATCAAAAGAGATCAAGAAGGGCATTACATACTCATCACAGGAAAGATCCACCAAGATGAAGTCTCAATTCTGAATATTTATGCCCCAAACACAAGGGCACCCACATATGTAAAAGAAACATTACTAAAGCTTAAATCACATATAAAACCCCACACATTAATAGTGGGAGACCTCAACACCCCACTTTCACCACTGGACAGATCTCCCAAATTGAAACTTAACAGAGAAATAAAGGACTTAACTGATGTCATGACTCAAATGGACTTAATCGATATCTACAGAACATTCCATCCTAACAAAAAAGAATATACCTTCTTCTCAGCACCCCATGGAACCTTCTCTAAAATTGACCACATACTTGGCCACAAAACAAATCTAAACAGATACAAAAGAATTGGAATAACCTCCTGTGTTCTATCAGACCACCATGGTCTAAAGTTGGATTTCAACAACAACAAAAACTACAGAAAACCTGCAATCTCATGGAAACTGAATAATACCCAACTGAATCACCAATGGGTTAAGGAAGAAATAAAGAAAGAAATTAAAGACTTCCTAGAGATCAATGAAAATGAAGACACCACATATCCAAATTTATGGGACACTATGAAAGCAGTACTAAGAGGGAAATTCATAGCACTAAATGCCCACATAAATAAGTTGGAGAAATCTCACACTAGAGACTTAACAGTATACCTGAAAGCTCTAGAACAAGAAGAAGCACAGTCTCCCAGGAAAAATAGACGCCAGGAAATTATCAAAGTGAGAGCTGAAATCAATAAAATAGAAACAAAGAGAACAATACAAAAAATTAATGAAACAAAGAGTTGGTTCTTTGAGAAAATCAACAAGATAGACAAGCCCTTATCCAAACTAACCAAAAGACAGAGAGAGAGCATCCAAATCAACAAAATCAGAAATGAAAAGGGGGACATAACAACAGACATTGAGGAAATCCAGAGAATCATCAGGTCATACTTCAAAAACCTCTATTCCACAAAACTGGAAAACCTAAAAGAAATGGATAACTTTCTGGATAGGTACCACATACCTAAGTTAAATCAAGACCAGATAAACTATTTAAATAGTCCAATAACCCCTAACGAAATAGAAACAGTCATTAAAAGTCTCCCAACCAAAAAAAGCCCAGGACCAGATGGTTTCAGCGCAGAATTCTACCAGATCTTCAAAGAAGAGTTAATACCAATACTCTCTAAATTGTTCCACACAATAGAAACAGAAGGAACATTACCAAACTCCTTCTACGAGGCTACAATTACCCTAATTCCTAAACCAAACAAGGATACAACAAAGAAAGAGAACTACAGACCGATCTCCCTCATGAACATTGATGCAAAAATACTCAATAAAATACTGGCAAACAGACTCCAAGAACACATCAAAACAATTATCCACCATGATCAAGTAGGATTCATTCCAGGGATGCAAGGGTGGTTCAACATACGAAAGTCCGTCAATATAATACACCATATAAACAAACTCAAAGAAAAAAACCATATGATCATCTCACTGGATGCAGAAAAGGCATTTGACAAAATCCAACACCCCTTCATGATAAAGGTATTAGAGCGATCAGGAATACAGGGAACATACCTAAACATAATAAAGGCAATTTACAGCAAGCCAACAGCCAACATCAAATTAAATGGAGAGAAACTCAAAGCAATTCCACTAAAATCAGGAACGAGGCAAGGCTGTCCACTCTCCCCATACTTATTCAATATAGTACTTGAAGTTCTAGCCAGAGCAATAAGACAACATAAGGAGATTAAGGGGATACAAATTGGAAAGGAAGAAGTCAAGCTTTCCCTATTTGCAGATGACATGATAGTATACTTGAGCGACCCCAAAGATTCCACCAAGGAACTGATACAGCTTATAAACACCTTCAGCAACATAGCAGGATACAAGATCAACTCAAAAAAATCAGTAGCCCTCCTATATACAATGGACAAAGAAGTGGAGAAGGAAATCAGAGATACATCACCCTTTACTATAGCCACAAATGACATAAAATACCTTGGGGTAACACTAACCAAGCAAGTGAAGGACCTATATGACAAGAACTTTAAGTCCCTGAAAAAAGAAATTGAAGAAGATGTCAGAAAATGGAAAGATCTCCCATGCTCATGGATAGGCAGGACTAACATAGTAAAAATGGCAATCTTACCAAAAGCAATCTACAGATTCAATGCAATCCCCATCAAAATACCAACACAATTCTTCACAGACCTGGAAAGAATAATACTCAAATTCATATGGAAAAACAAAAAACCCAGGATAGCCAAAGGAATCCTGTACAATAACACAACTTCTGGAGGCATCACGATCCCTGACTTCAAGCTCTACTATAGAGCTACAGTAATAAAAACAGCTTGGTACTGGCATAGAAACCGACATGTGGACCAATGGAATCGAATAGAAGACCCTGACATTAATCCGCACACCTATGAACATATAATTTTTGACAAAGAAGCCAAAAGTGCACAATGGAAAAAAGAAAGCATCTTCAACAAATGGTGCTGGCAAAACTGGATATCAACATGTAGAAGGCTGCAAATAGATCCATATCTATCACCGTGCACAAAACTTAAGTCCAAGTGGATCAAGGACCTCAACATAAATCCAGCTACTCTGAACCTGCTAGAAGAGAAAGTAGGAAGTAGTCTTGAACGCATTGGCATTGGAGACTACTTCCTAAATAGAACACCAGTAGCACAGACTCTGAGAGAAACAATCAATCAATGGGACCTTTTGAAACTGAGAAGCTTTTGTAGAGCAAAGGATACGGTCAACAAGGCAAAGCGACAGCCTACAGAATGGGAAAAGATCTTCACCAACACCACATCTGACAGAGGACTGATATCCAGAATATATAAGGAACTCAAGAAATTAGACATCAAAATGCCCAACAGTCCAATTAAGAAATGGGCTATAGAACTAAACAGAGAATTCTCAACAGAGGAAACTCAAATGGCCGAAAGACATTTAAGGAATTGCTCATCATCCCTAATCATCAGGGAAATGCAAATCAAAACAACTCTGAGATACCACCTTACGCCTGTCAGAATGGCTAAGATCAAAAACACTGAAGACACCTTATGCTGGAGAGGATGTGGAGCTAGGGGAACTCTCCTCCACTGCTGGTGGGAATGCAAGCTTGTACAACCACTTTGGAAATCAATATGGCGCTTTCTTAGAAAATTGGGAATCAATCTCCCCCAAGATCCAGCTATACCACTCTTGGGCATATACCCAAGAAATGCTCAACCACACCATAAGAGCACTTGTTCAGCTATGTTCATATCAGCATTGTTTGTAATAGCCAGAACATGGAAACAACCCAGATGCCCTTCAACTGAAGAATGGATAAACAAAATGTGGTACATATACACAATGGAATACTACTCAGCAGAAAAAAACAATGGCATCATGAGGTTTGCAGACAAATGGATGGATCTAGAAAAAATCATCCTGAGTGAGGTAACCCAGACTCAGAAAGACAAACATGGTATGTACTCACTCATAGCAGGATACTAGACATGAAACAAGGATGAATTGTCTGCTACTCACATCACCAGGGAGGCTACCCGGAAAACAGGACCCCAAGAAAGACACAGGGATCGCCCAATGACAGAGAAATGGAATGAGATCTACATGAACAGCCTGGACATGAGTGGGGGTAATGAAAGGCGAGGGTCGAGGGAAAGAGAGCTTGGGGGAGCGGGAGATCCCAGCTGGATCAACAACAGAGAGGGAGAACAAGGAATAGGAGACCATGGTAAATGAAGACCACATGAGAACAGGAAGAAGCAAAGTGCTAGAGAGGCCCACAGAAATCCACAAAGATACCCACACAACAGACTGCCGTCAATGGTCGAGAGACAGCCCGAACTGACCTACTCTGGTGATGGGATGGCCAAACACCCTAATTGTTGTGCTAGAAACCTCATCCAACTACTGAGGGATCTGGATGCAGAGATCCATGACTAGGCCCTGGGTGGATCTCTGGGAGTCCAATTAACGAGAATGAGGAGGGTTTATATGAGCGAGAATTGTTGAGACCAAGGTTGGATAAAGCACAGGGACAAATAGCCAAATGAATGGAAACACATGAACTATGAACCAATGGCTGAGGGGTCCACACTGGATCAGGCCCTCCGAATGGGTGAGACAGTTGATTGGCTTGATCTGTTTGGGAGGCATCCAGGCAGTGGGACCAGATCTTGTGCTCATTGCATGAGTTGGCTGTTTGAAACCTGGGGCCTATGCAGGATTGTTTGGCTCGGCCTGGGAGGAGGGGACTAGACCTACCTGGACTGAGTCTACCAGGTTGACCTCAGTCTGTGGGGAAGGCTTTGCCCTGGAGGAGATGGGAATGGGGGGGGGGGCGTTGGGGGGAAGGTGAGGGGGACGGGAGGGGGGGAGAACAAGGGAATCCGTGACCGATATGTAGAACTGAATTGTATTGCAAAATAAATTAAAATAAATTAAAAAAAAAAAAAAAAAAAAAAAAGAAATCTTGTGATTAAAAAGTTGGTTGGTACATATGCAATATTATCTATCCTCTCTCTCTCTCTCTCTCTCTCTCTCTCTCTCTCTCCTCTATCTATTGCTATTTTCTACTCATGCACACAGACACATGTGAATATATGCACAAAATTTTATATATATATATATATATATATAATGTATATCTACTTTATAGAAGATGCTAAATATTGAGTTCAATACTGAGGACACTATGATAAGTGTACTTATTGGTGCACAGGATGTTGAGCAAACATTTCTCATCATAAATCTCTCATTATATCTCACATAAATGATATAAACGATTACACAGTATTTCTTCTAAGGCTCTTGTTTCTTCTACTTTTCAGGTTCTCTCTCTTAAGCATATACTTAATTGCTTCTAAATTCCTGCCATCTCACATTAATGTGACTATTTATATCTTCCACAATGTGACCAGAAACTATGCAGAAATGGGTTTGTACTGTTCCCACCTTTTCTCATGAATGGAGACACAGAATGGTCCATCTCTTCTTTCTTCATAGTGCTGTAATTTGCACTAGGATTCTCCTTCATTACATCAAAAGAGCTATGATAGAGGATTTTATTTACAATTTCTTCTGGTAGGTCTTTCTCTAGAAACTTTAATAATTTTTTAATCTCACACATTGGATCCTGAAATGTTAAAGGGGGAAAAATAATTTCAGTTAGATTTGGTCACAAAGAAAGGAATGCACTTAATAAGGTTCTGTTTAAGCTTAACTAGTGGGAGAGATATTTGGGGGGTTTTATGTAACTTTTAATGCATAAGACAAGACTCAAGCAATTATATTTATAATTTTTATTTTTAAGAAGCAACTAAACTATTTGAAAACATGAGTGGAAATACACAGATTTTTATTTCAAAAGTATTATTGTCCTTGAATAGATAACAGTAGCAGGATGGGTGAGTTGTATTAATTAGTACTGTAAGCCAGAACTAGAGTTCAAAATAAACTAGCCATGTTTATAGACTAAGAAGAAAAGAGAGTAAGAGACAAAGAATTTAAATTTTGGGTTTCTTAAAAATAAACTGAAATTTCTCCTTACTTCTTTCATATCTTCATAAAACAGATAGAGGATACGGTAATCTTTTCTTTTCTCCCACCAGCCCTTCACATGATCATACCAGGAACCAAAACCCACTAAAGTTAAAGATAAAATGTAAAATTAAAAACTATTTACATGGAAATAGGACATAGGTAATTATTGCTTTAAGTTGTGATTGTCTGTCCAGATACAGTGATTTCTGTAGTTCAAGAAAAAGTAAGAATAAGATAAAATCCATATGCTGAAATGCCCATTCTTCATATTTAATAATGAAAGTGTACTTAGAGAAAAGGTCCCTACAGAAGTAAGAAAATTAGTTCTTGACCAATGCCCTTACGGATAAAGGGATTAAGACAGACCCACCAAGATGGAATGCCATGGAGGGAATAGGGTGAAGATACAGGCCTGCACAGTTTAAGGGAAAAGACTGTAGAAGAAACACTGACAGTGTTTTCTCCTTGGATTTGTAGATTCTAAAAATGTAAAAAAAAAAATACATTTCTGTCATCTAAGCCATTCAATATGATATTTTATGGGACCTTTTATAAGCTAATTTATCATTTGATAAATATAACTAAGACCACAAAAATAAGGGTGTAGACTCAGAACGTTTCAAACAGTGAAGTGATGTGGACGTTCACAGGAGAGGGAATAGTGAAGAAATAAGATTACATAAAGGGGGAGTCACAAAAGCCCTGTGGAAGACAGAATGCGTTTCATTCTGAAAAGCCTTTAGGTTTGGCAGGGATAATGACATTGACACCATGAGCAAATAACAGTGCAAGCAATGAAGTGTGTTAAGTCAATGCCAGATGTCACCTACACATATTTGCTTCCAGGAGGGGATTTATATGGGAACATGTTTATTGAGAATTTTTTCCTACAGTTACTATCATGAGTATGAAAGAAAGAGATTGTGTTTGTAACAGATTCTAAAGGGACAGCTGCTCAGGAGTTTTGAATGGCAAAGAATAGATTCCAAAGAATGGACACACAATTAAAATAATCCAGCATAGAGACACTGATATTTGAAAGTACTTAAACAAATTGCCAGCAGTCATTTACCACTAATGAAATGATGAAATCAAAGACCAGAAACATATATACCAGAAATTATCCAAAAGCCCCCTCAAAGAAAAAAATGGCCTTGTATTCTTTCTTTTTAGTCCCCCTAATGTATTAGTTTTGTAACTAATGGTTTTATAAACATTAATTTTATAATAAACATAGGATTTAGATTTTAAACTTTATGTTGCCTTGAAAAAAATCCCTATTAGTTTTGAAATCATAATTAAAAGAACAGTTGGACTCACCTTCCCCAGCCATGAATTTATCAAGGAACTCCTCCCAGGTGCCAGGCTCTGGGTGCATTTTTGCCATTTGGTAGAAATAATAGTAAGAAACAGCCACATCTTTGGCATTCCGTGCCACATAGACCATCTGTCGGGGCACAAACAGAAGGTTGGAATTTATTTTTGTAATTTAATAGTTTTTAACTATTGCTTACATCATCAGGTTGTTTTTTTATCCTTTATAGTTCTCCAATCATGATATTTGTGGAACTATGCCCGACATAGTACATTCCAACTGTATATTGTGTTAATACTCAAAAGCTCATCTCCCATTTCTGACACATCTGCATTTTCTTTACCCTTTTAAAAGATTGTCTTTTGGAACATGAAAAATAACTACAATAAAAACTAGAGCATTCATTCCTACCCCTACGTTGCACTCTCTTTGGCGTGAGAAGGTACTCTGCAGGCTACAGAAAAAGAAACCTGGACAGCAACCCAGTAACAAAACCCTCTACCTACAGTCTGTCCTGCCTGCAGGATGTACTGGGGCAATGGCGATGCAGAACTTGTGCCAACCAATGTTGAAGCTCATGCCATGAGAGGGAGCCCATGCCCTAAACTTCCTGGATTTTCAAGAACCCTAGATTGAGTAGACCAGAGATGTAGGGTAGAACCAAACACAACTGGACAAAAGTAAATAAAATAAAATAAAATAAATGAAATGATTCCTAATGATGTTCTGCTATTACTCATATATTGGTTCCTTGTCTAGTTGTCATCAGAGAGGCTTTTGCCAGTGGCAGATTGGGAGCGAGTGCGTAGACCCACAGCCATACATTATACGGAGAGAGAGTCTAAATTAGAGGTCTTCATTGGTTCCTCCCCTCAGAGATCAGGAACCCCGTGGAAGAGTGGAGGGAAAGATTGACTGTAGGAGTCAGAGTGGATAGACGACACCAGGAGAACATGGCCCACTGAATCAACTACACAGAGCTCATATGGGCTCACAGAGACTGAAGTGGCATGCACAGGGCTTGCATGGGTCTACATCAGGTTCTCTGATTATGTGCTATGGCTGTTAGCTTGGTGTTTTGTGAGACTCCTAACTGTGGAAGCCAATGAGTCTCTGACATTTTTGCCTGCTCTTGGTACTCCTTTTCTCCTATTGGGTTGCCTTGTTCAGCCTCAATATGAGGGCTTTTGCCTTGTGTTTTTGTATCTTGTTTTGTCCTGTTTTCGCTGTTGTCTCTTGGAGGTCTGCTCTTTTCTGGATATGAAATGGAGGGAGAATGGATCTTGGGGAAAGGGGAGGTGAAGGGGGCCTAGGAGGAATGGAGCAAGGGGAATTTGTGATGGATATGGATTGTATAAGAGATGAATCTACTTTTAAATAAAAAAAGGAAATAAAAGAAAGTTTGGGGAAAACTAGACTAAATATCAAATTAGGCAAATAGCTTATATATTCTTAAATTTAGAACATCTATTTAAATTGATAATTTAAATAAATTAAAACTACACAAAGGGATAGGAGAGAGCCAAGAGAGGGTAGGGATAACAGTAGTCAGAATGCATATATACAAGCATGGAATTGTCAAGTACCAAAATTAATAAAATGAAATAAAAAATTTTAAGCTGCAAAATATCTAAATTTTCACTGAAGAAAAATCATTACTAGGTAAATTTAGAGCCAGAAAAGATTAAAATTCCTTATGCCACAAACCAAAGCTATATAACAATATGTGTGGGATTAATTTTTTAATGTATCAAATTTTAAAGTCTGGATGAATGAAGAATTATTGCCCAACTAAAATTACTTTGGGGATGACAAGATAGCTCAAAGGGTAAAGACACAGTCAAGACTGATAACTCAATTTTAATCCCTAGACTTCACATGATGAAGGAGGTAATTGAGTCCCACAAGTTGTCTTTTGACCTCCTTGGGGGTAGGGAGGGAGAGAGGGAGAGGGAAAGAGGGAGGGAGGGAGGGAGGGAGGGAGGGAGGGAGGGAGGGAGGGAGAGAGAAGGAATATGAGAAATGTTCCATGAGTCCTGGGGAATTTGTTTTGTGGAGAGTATCTACTGACCTACATTGGGCCTCCCCCTCATAGAAAGCAAAATTTAATACATTTGAAGCTTAGCCATGCATGGAGTGAACATGTGTCCTAGGAAAATGAGTGCAGGAAGAATGAATAGAGAAAGAGACATTCATGTAGCTAGGATTAGATTTTGCATCTCACTCAAATGATGAACAAAATAGGAACTTTCATATCCCTAAATCAAAGACAGTGGCCTTGATAAGCTAGGAAACGGATGAGGATAGGGAGTAGACTGAAAGAGGTTTTTCAAGAGATGTAGTGTAATTTACTTCTAAATTTATTGAGGAAAACCTTAAACCCTGTAAACATTACTAGTTATTTCTTACCTCACTATCAGTTGACTATGTCAATTAGCCCAAAGCATCCAGCAATAACATCTGTAGCCTTTTTGCAAAATTAATTTGACTTACTTAGTATTATTTAAAAATAATTAAATGGCAGGTGAAATGATTAAGAATGAAAGAAAAATCTGACAGTGATTCAAGAGTAGTGTCAATCCCTTTTTCATAATTGGTGTCCAGTCTTGTCATATTGACCCTTGGCTATAACTGCCATTCTATTGTTTTGTAATGACTCATCCAACATTCACATTAACTTATAGTTAAAAACACACAGACACACCAATAACATTATACACACTGAGCAGGTTGTATATGTTGAGGAATATATATGTGTATTTTTATATGTATTTATACACACATATATGTCATGCACACACATACATATGTCAACAATTAAAGGAAAAAAGCCATGAATTTTAATGACAGCAAAAGGGAAGAGTATATGGGTGTGGCAAGAGGGAGAAAATGGAAGGTGGAAATGATGTGATTATATTCTAACCTCAAAAAAAATAACAAAAATGAAAAGAAATGAAAAGCCAGGGGGATTATTTTTCACTTGCTACCTTGCAGTCATTTTTCCAAAATGAGGAAGGAAGAAGTTGAACAGGTAGATGAGTTTTCACCAGCCGAGGAGATGGCATGCTTTCCAACAGTTCAATACCTACAAGCATACCCATTAACAAACTGCGTTGTAAGTGTGGAATCACATGGCTTCTTTGTAGTTCATCCTAAGACTTTCTAATCATTTAATGGCTCGGTAAGTTTTTTTTTTTTTCTTTTTTCTGTTTTGTATGCTATAAGGCTCAACAGATTCCTATGTTCCTAAAATCTCAAAGAATACAAACCATAAAAAGTCATGGCTAACTGACCTATTTTATCCTCTGTAAGTACAATAGTATAATTATCTTCACATTTGTCTATAAAAACAGTTCCTCATTTGAAATATCGTGATGGAGCAGAAAGAGTGGTTATTAAACAGTCTCTAGGTTTTCTCTTCACTCTTTTTTCTTGCTTACAGTATGAAAATATTTCAAAGTCCTTGTCAATCTCTCTCATATTCAAATTCTATGACAGAATTATGTTATAATATTCATTTCTGTTTTTTCAAGATTTAAAATAATACAAAGCAATGTATTCCCATATTTTTATTAAGTTTATAATTATTATATTAATAATATACATATATATTTAAACTAACTAGTCACATAATTTTGTTGGATTAAATATTGGATTTCCTTGATATAATATGATACACTAGTTAAATAATAAAGACTTCCATATAGTAAGAGATTTAAGTTAGATCAAGATCTCCACATATGTGGATGTTATCTTTGAGGAGATGGGGCCTCAACAAATTCTAACTCCTCTAGACACTGATTTCATAGTGCTTGTTCTTTGCGTTTTATTGTTGCCCTTGACTCCTTCACATATACTAAGAACACAGGTAGATTTATTCCTATAATGAAAAGGAATTGTCAGAAAAAAATACCATTTGACAATCCAGGAATTATAAGCTCCATGAAAGGCACTCGTTTATAGATTGCATCCCGTTTACACTTCTCTGCATCCCCGTTGTTATAGATCAAATCCAGTATTTCGCTGATCCAGGTTGTCCCTAAGGGGAAAATGGAAGAAATTAAACATCTTTGTTGACAATAACATAAGAAAGTCAAGAGAGGCAGAGGTGTTTTGTAATATCTGAAATAAGCAAGCAAACAAACAATATGTGGTTTTTATTTCCACTTCTATTTTTTCTCTTACTCCTTCCCAGGAAATGTTCTCCTTTTTTTGTTTGTTTGTTTGGGTTTTTTGTGGTTTTTTCTTTTGTTTTTGTTTTGTTTTTGGTTTTGTTTTTTCAAGACATGGTTTCTCTGTGTAGCCCTGGCTGTCCTAAAACTCACTCTGAAGATCAGGCTGGCCTCAAAGTTAGAGATCCACCTGCTTCTGCCTCCCAAGTGCTGGGATCAAAGGCGTGCACCCTACACATGGCAGGAAATGCTCTCATTTATCAGGGATATAGACATATTTATTGAATAAAATTTAACTTTAAAAGCCTCAAAAAGTAAATAAACAAAGGTGTGTACAAAGCAGTGAACAAGTAATGATAGCACAGTCCCTTCCCCTCCCCAATACTCCTTGGTTAAAATGGTTTGATTTAAATCAAAATATTCTAAAATATATTTGAGTTGGATCCTGAGTAGTATGGGCAGAGAAAATAGCCAACTTTGCTATTACAGCTTTGAATTGAAGAGAATATCAGATAAAGATGATCAACATATAGTGGAGGTGTAAAAAAATACAAAGAACCTTTGCCTGTAACAATCAAGATGCTATATACAACAATAGGACCCATTTGAACTCAGAACAGTGATTCACTCTGAATAATATGATATAGTGTCTCACCAGTCCTTTGAAAAACGCCTATGTCATGTGAGAACATGGTCTGCTCAATTGCCTATGTCCTTTGATTATCAGGTGAGTGAGGAATTTCTATTGAAAGAATATAACAAGGAAGAAAAATACCTTTTTAGCTGTTCTTATAATAGTAACTGAAACACTGAAATGTATTATTTAATTAATCTGTGTAGATAACATTTTAATGAGTGAAACATGAATATTTACAGACACTAGAAATGATACACTTGTAAGGCAATATCACAATCAAACCCAATATTTTGTCTGATAACTTGGGAAATTAATTAAAATAAAAGTAAATGAGAGAATGAGAAACATTTGGCCCAAACCACCTTGTTTTCCATACCTACAATGTTTTATGGTACATTTGTTCACTTCTAAAGACCCTGGAATCATGTGGGGTTTTTGTGGTCTTGTTAGATCAGAATATCTTAAATTCTAGTTTGTTTGTTTGTGTGTTTGTTTGTCTGTTTGTTTTTCCCATTAAGGAATATAAAGGAGAGTTGATATTAGAGTATTTATTAGGTAGGAAGTTGGATTGATTGTGGATCCAAGTAAATTCATAGGATACTTACTGGAATTTCAGAAATGGACATGAATCTATCTAATCTGAGGCAATATTGTCCCAGCTAACCACAATACTCCTTTAACATGTTAGAAAAACTCAATTTGAATTAGACAAGTATCTGCAGGCAAGAAAGTTCCTCAGTATGGATCATTATCTAACTGCCTAGAGTGAATAAATTAAAAGTTCTTACCAGATTTGGGATAGGTGGAGATCAAAAGATCGTCAGGTCGGGCCTCAAAGGACTCCACTTGGGACCACTGCTCAGCAATGCTCCAGAAGAGAGGGACACCTTGAACATCCACTAACTCCCTCCTGAAGATATCCAGCTTCTTATCCATTTGGAGAGACTAGATTTTAACAATGGTTAGCATCAATCAGCTTTAAAATGTTACTAATTCCCACCAGCAGCCAGGGTCTGAGCTGATGTCTGTGGCTCCTGTCACCACCAAGGGCTGTGCTTATGGATGTTGGGAGTCTGGACAGCTACCTGAGACCATGTTAGTGTCCAAGGGCCTTGCTGCTGCCTGGGCCATACTGATCTGGGTGGCCTGTGCTGCCACCGGGCCATGGTGATGTCCAGGCCTGAGCTGCTGCCGAAGGCCATGTCTTGGTCTGTGTTCCCGCTCCGGCTGGGGTCTGTGATGATGTCCTTGGCTCGTGTAGCCACCGGGGTCATAGGAGCCATTTAAAGGCAATGCTGAGCCAGCCCTGCCCCTCACTGGACCAGAAATGGTTGGCCCTGCCCCTCACTAGACACTACAGCACGAGAGCTTTCCCTGCCCCCCATGGAAGAGCTGGCCCACACACACTCAGGAGAGAGGGCCCCATCCCTTACAATCAGCATGGAAAAGTTGGCCATCATGGCATGGGCCTAGGAGATCTGGCTCTGCCCCTCACCTGAGGGGGGGTGGTCCAGACCAACTGGCTCAGCTACCACCCAGACCCACATCTTAGGCCTCGGGTTGGCCCACCCTAACATCTACCCTATCAATGACCTGCTGGAGTACATGAAGGAATTGGTCCTGCTAAATGATAACTGCAGGATCTTTGTGACTCAGAGCAACAGCAGGATATCCGAGACGAGTTTTGGTGAGGGTCCAGCAGTGATGGTGTGCCAAAGGCCAGAGGCCTTGAACCAGACCAATGACTCATTGCAATAATTATTTTGTGGCTGGGGCTGATCAGACAAAAGGGTACACTGTGTGACACACTGTAGCACCCAATGCCACTATGATGAATGAAGAGGTGTTAGAAGATGGAAGAGAGAGATGGATTTCTTTGTTTGTTTTGTTTTGAATTGATTTGGGGGGGTTATCTTTTGGGAGGGGGATGTAGCAGGGATTAGGGGAGGATATGGAGCTACCGGGAGGTGAACAGAATTGAGTTGTATGATGTGAAATTTCTAAAGAATCAATAAAGAATTATGTTATTAAAAATGTTACTACTGTAATAGTAATATGATTTCTCAAACTTCAGAGACATGAACTCAGTTCATGTGTGTTATAATCAAGAGAAGAAAAGAAATTGAACAAATAGAGTCTTGTGCAATTATTTCCCTTTATGCTATTCATACACAACATAACATTGCCACACTTCATTTGTGTATCAATTCCATGTGCCAATGTCAAGACGCACGGTAAAGTTACTATGCTTCAAATTAGGAGAAGACTGTAAGTCTATCATGGGGCTATCAGTTCATTGCAAGTTCTGGAATGGCAAAGCCCTCCTTATAACAAAAATCAAACAGCCTAAATTATAATGCCCTTCCTTTAAATTTCTTTTTTTACGCATTTTAAAAATTCTTTTTACATACCAACCGTAGTTTCCCCTCCCTTCCATCCCCTCCTCCTGCTCCCCTCCACACCATCCCCATCCACTCCCCCTGAAAGGGTAAGGCCTCTCATGGGGAGTCAGCTAAGCCTGGCACATCAAGTTGAGGCAGGACCAAGCCCCTCCCACACTGCATCAAAGCTGAGTAAGGCATCCCACCATAGGGAATGGGCTCCTAAAAGCTTTAAATTTCACGGTAAACTGGTAAGTTCTTTTAATTATATATGGCAGGCTACAAATTAAGAGAAAATGTAGGTGTGAGATGTGGACAAGATTTAGCATAAGTAAGACACAAATGGGCATGCCAAAATGCATGAGAAAAAACCCATGAGGTCTCATCCCTGCACAAAGATCTATAGGCAAGTGAGTCAAGCTGGGAGTGAGAGGTGGCCCTCCCTTGGGAAGAGCACACTGTTTGTCTAATGCCAAATGGTCACCCCTGAAAACATACCATGCAAGTATTGTATGACTCAACCAGTTATATTTAAGAATATATGTATATGTAAATAATTATATGCATGCAATAACAATTGATGAAAAGAGAGCCCATTGTTTTGAAGGGCAGTAGAGAGGGGTTAGTGAGGGTTCAAAGGTAGGAGAAGGAAAAAGTGTTGCAATTAAAATAAAATATCAAAAATAACAACAACAAAAGGATAAAAAAGGAAATAAGGTTGAAGTTAGACAACTCTTGAGTATACATACATACATATCTTCCACTAAAAACCCTTGAAACACTTGTCGTGATGACCCCAGGTTATTTTATACTTTCAGCAAGGTTATAGATAAAGGTACTTCTGTTTGTCTCTTACCTGTTATGGGTAAGGGAAGAACTTGAAATATACCATCAATTGTACTCCAGAATCCACATGCCTCCGTGCTTAGCATGAGCTGAAGGATTCTTTTACTTCCTCTAAAATTTTAGCTTTAAAGTTTTCACAAAACTGAGACTTTGTATGAAGCTGTTACCAAGATTCCCACTAATAAGTATCACCTACTTGCCAACACAATTCAAAGCCAGATAGATGTCATTGATTAAAGTAAGCAGACAAACAAACAAACAAACAAAACAGCTCTCTGTATCTGCAAATTTTACATGAGCAGAATCAACCACCTGTGCATTGTAAATGTTTACAGATAGTTTCCTTCTATTATATCATAAACAATATGATATAGCAACTATGTGCATAACATTTATATATTAGGCATTATAAGTAATATAGACATGGTTCAAACTTTTGACAGGATACAAGTAAGATGTATGCAACTATTGGGTCATTATGTAAAGAACCTTTGCATCTGAATATTTTGAATCTTGGGATCTGGGAACCAATTTGTCTTGGATATTAAGAGACTTACACCCAGATTGTGTTTGAATTACAATTTTTTATCCTCTTTGTGCCTTCAAATTCTCTCAAATCCATCCCTAACTGACATTAACTGGATACATTTTTTAAGGCACATGGTGCAAAGTGTTGAACAGTTTATTTCCAATTAAACATTTTACAATATGAGATTTCATAAAAAGATTCAAGGTTATGCAAAACAACTCAAATTTATAACACATAAAGCATAAATTTATGTGTTGGCACCTGGGTTGTGTTTCCTATCAACACTATCTTCTCTCCCTACCAACAAATTAGGCTTTGGCTGCAATAGCAGTCACACAGGAAAACAAGGCATAGCTTTAGTGTCAGGAGCTGTGCAGCCTCATCTTGGGATCAGCATACAAATGTCCAATGGGTCTCCATGAGGCAAGACTATGAAAGATGGTCTCTAACTTGGCAAGGACCAGTGAACTATGGGGCAGTGCAGTGCAGGACTTTGCTGAATCCGTACAGCTTGCAGGGTCTTCTCTCTCTCTCATTATATTGTTGATTCTTTGGGCAATTTTCAGTTTTACTTTGTCAGTCACAGAGGCAACAGCCATAATTTTCCCTGGAAATTCTGTGTTTTCTCAAATGTTTTCCCCTTAGAACCAGCAGAAGACTAATGCTCCTCAAATTTCTTATCTGGAATTACTAACTACAACCCCTAATCCTGGGAACTTTTCTGACTCAATAAAGATAGGTAAGTACATATGAAAAAACAACACTTGGAACATTAACCATGTCTCACAGTTCGGGAAAGGAAAGTAAGGCATGAGTACACAGAATAGGAAAAAAGTCTCAGGAGTACACATAGTGCCAACTGTTTAGAGTAAATTTCCTGGACACCAAGCATATAGAATCAATGATAGGATCTAGTATGATCCAATGTGGAAAATGCATTGGGGAAAATGTTGAATGGATAGATCCATCTTTACCATACACAGGAGCATATATTGTTGAGAGAAGTATGGTATAGTGAAATGGGGAAACAGTGCCTTATCAAAGTCTGCCTTTTACAGAGAGATTGAGAGATGGACCCTCTTGTAGAAAAAGGATCTGTTGGAGGAGGTGGGAATAGGGGGTGGGCTGGGGGGAAGGTGAGGGGAGCAGAAGCGGGGAGAACAAGGGAATCCGTGACTGATATGTAGAACTGAATTGTATTGCAAAAGAAAAAAAAAGAAAAAATATATCTTGCCAGCATGAAAGAATTGCTTAGGTTTGATATTGTTGACCTTAAAGCATTGCACCCATGTCTATTACTTTTTAACTTTGTAACCACAAGTAGCTGCCGGCTGACATAAGTGCTGTAAAAGCAGGATGTATCTGGCTAAGTATTTAGTTAAACCTGTAAAAATGCTGAACTTTATGTCCAGAATAAGGTTATGTAGGGAATGGGAAAATACATTTGGGGAAACACAAAATGGAACAATGGGGGCTTTTATAATGACTATGATGTATTTCTTCAAATATGATGTATCTTAAAAGTCAAAAATAGGAGCCAATAATAAAGCTGTTCATGTAATCTTAGCAAAAACAAACAAACAAAAACACTGTTAAAGTATAAATAAAGATGGCTTGAGCTATTTGGGGCCACGAGTACAATCCACTCGGTGGTCAGAATTTTTCCTTGCGCTGATGTCCTTTTCCCATCTCAGAACCTGAACCTGAGCCAAGGCTGAACCCCGGCACTATAATGTTTTGAAAAATCATAATCTGATTGCTTTCAGAGTCCCAGTTGTTTTCCATTGCTATTTCCAAGTTATTTACAGCTTGCTCTATGCCCAAGAAATATAGTCATATGCCAATTAAAATAGGGGACAGTTTGAGTAAGTCATTAGTTGATTTTGTCACCGTGAAAGAAATATTAGTGTGCACTTACCCAAACTAAGACAGCTGCAATGTCCTTGGGAAAGCAAGTATAGTCACTTTGGAAATCAGTCTGTAAGTTTCCCCAAAGGACTGGAAACAGAACTGTCATATGACCCAGCTATGCTACAAAGGACATTTATTCAGTATCCTACCACAGAGACATTTGCACATCTGTATTTGTTGCTGCTGTAGTCACAATAGCTAGGAAATTGAATCAATCTAGGTTTTCATCAACAGATGAATGAATGAGAAAATGTATTGCATATACACAATGATATATT